GGGGGAAGCCGGCCCTGGTCATGTTCTGCAGGACCTCACGGGTGACGGTGGTGGAGGAGTAGCCCCAGCGGCACAGGTGGAAGCCCAGGCTCCAGTAGGGTGGCATCGCCGGGTGCCCTGTGGACACGGATGGTGAGTGGACAGAGGGAGGGAGGACTGGGGGCGGCGGGGGTCGCTGCAGGGTCTCCCCACACCTCAGGCTCTGTGGGGAGCGGGCACAGGTGGGGGTCTTACCCACAACGTCCAGGTACTGCTGCACCACGCTCTTGGGCTCCGGCCCCAGGAAGACGTACATGTCCAGGATCCCACCTATTGTCCTCCAGCTGAGGGCGGGGCTCGGCTGCAGGACCACGTCTGTGGGGGTCAAGGCTTGTGTCTACTCCCTACGGGTTCTCAGCACCACAGGTGGCCCGACCAGAGCTGGGGGAGGGGCCAGGGAGCTGGGGGGATGAGTGTCCAGGCTCTCCACTCTGAACAGAGTCCCAGAGCCCCCACTCTGGGGACACCAAGCAGGAGACAGGAGACTCCAGCCTGCTGGGGTCAGCAAGGCCCAGGCCAGATCCTGAGCCCCAGCTCCAACCCCTTCGCTGCCCCCCAGTCCCCATCACGCGCAGCCTCTCTGGCCAGCAGCACACATCACACCCAGGGGAGCACTGGCCGGGGGCTCAGGGCTCGCAGCAGCTGGGGTCCCTCTCACTCACCCATGGCGTTGCTGTTCAGCAGGTACACTCCGTGGGCCGAGCCCCCGGGCTCCAGCACCAGGTAGAAGGGGTGGGAGCCGTACAGGTTCTTGCCAGGCTGGGTGGGAGGCAGCACTGTCGGACCCGTGTCCACAGCCACAGGTGCAGAGAGAGCCACCGAGGACACGTGGTCCTGCTGGTCAGCTGGTCAGCCCCAGGACCCCACTGTCCTCAGGATGGCCTGTCCCCTGTGCCCTGCACCCAGGAGCCCTGGCTGGCCAGGCGGCATCAACAGTGAAGTCAACTAGCAGCAGCATGCATACAGTGACGGGACTGTCACACAGAGTGAACACGTGTCCCAGGAAACCTTCCAGCCTCCGTGAGAGACGGCAGACACAAAGTCACAGACACAGGACCCCATGGACGGGGACCCCGAGAACGAGGCCAGCCAGACCAGTGACCAGGCAGGAAGGGAGTCAAGCAGTCCCTTGAGTGGACACACCTGGGGAAGTGTCTGAGTGGACACTGAGGGGCACCTAGCTCAGGATCCCAGAAGCAGTAGTCTTCTGCCAGGACGCCCAAGCACCCCACTGCTGCCTCTCTGTGGCCCCTAAGTGGGGTGCACCCAGAGCCCTTGGTTCCTCTCATTTGACCCTACACGCCAAGACTAGGCTGGAGTTGGGGAGGGTCCCTAGAGAGAGGCCAGCTTGTACGCCTGCCCCCTCCTCACTGCCCTCCACAGGCCACGCCCACATGCCTACCTCAGGGGCCATGTCCCGGTTCCAGAGGGTGACCTTGGTCCAGTTGGTGTTGAGCACCAGGGGGCTGAGGTGCTCCGCGAGACCCACCACGTACGGCGAGGGCAGGGTGGTGGACAGCTGCAGGAACTGGTCGGCGAAAAACAGGGGCGCCACTGTGGTGTTCAGCCTGTGGGCAGATCAGTGGGTCAGGGGGCTGAGGGGGCCTTGCCAAAGAGCCAGGGAGCAAAGTCACACCACGCTGGGGATGCTGGGCAGACAGGCCTCACAGGACAGGACAGAGGCGGCCACACCAGGTAGAAGAGTGAGGGAGCAGCAAGGCCAGGGCGTGAGATGGGACTGTCGGGAGATGTCCTCAGTGCACAGGTGACATGCTCCTCCCTGACTGTCCAGCCCCCAGGACCCTGCTCCTGACACCCCAACCCAGGCCACCCCTGGCCAGGCTGGGACTGATGGGTGGGACCAGTACTCACAGAACGCGGCCATCCACCTTCCGACGTATGACCAGGCCGAAGGGCTCCTGCGAGAACTCCACGGTATAGATAGGGGCAGGGGCCCGGCTGCGTGCACGAGGGGTCTCCAGGGGGACTTCATAGCGCCTGTTAGCGGGGTCTTTGATCTACAGAGGGAGGGACACATGGCACCCAGGCCCTTTAGGGGACAAGCTGGTCACTCACATTTTTCACACCTTACCCCAGCAATCAAGTGATCCTAGGTGACCACACAGCCCGAGCAGGGCCTGGCTTCCCTGTCCACACGGAGAACCCCCAGGGCTGCCGGCCAGGAGGCCTGGTGAGCGTGGTGCGAGTCTCAGACCGCCGAGTCTGCCTCCGGCGCTGCGTGGGACGCCCTTACGTTATAAACCCGTCTGTCCCAGTATCTGAACTTTAAACATGCTCATCTCCTCTGAGGAGCTCTGGTAACGTATGCGGTCACTAAACAAAAGTTCAGAGCCAGCAGCTGCTCCCTGGGAGGAGGTGGACAGTCTCCTCCATGAAGATTTACAGCCCTGGAAACCCAACAACTAGGAGTCAGCCCCGGCGTGATGGCAGGGGCGTTCTGGGGTCTGGATGTCATACGTGCCAAAGCCAGACAACAAATGCAGGAAGCCAGAATCGGGGTGAAGAGCATCGAACACCCCGTGAACCACCGGCACAGCAGATGTGTTCGGGACTGCAGCGGAACTCTCCTCAGAAGCCGGATGGAGTGAACGGGAGTGACTGAAGGAGACGTGTGAGCCGCAAAGTGCAAAGGTTGTAAGTGAACCAGCAGAAAATGGAAACAAAGTAACGAGGGCAGAGAGGCTTCAGCACAAACGTCAGGGAGTTACTGGGGCTTAGTCCCTGGACGACACTGTGTTTGGCAGAATCAGCTGAAAAGAGAGGGACTGGCACTCAGGTACAAACACAGCGGTGCCCACGAGGCAGCATCACGCCCAGCGGTGCCCATCAGGTGACCTCGCACACGGCGGTGCCCGTGAGGTGGCATCACGCCCAGCGGTGCCCGTGAGGCGGTCACCTGGTGTTGCACTCTGCTGTACGTGACGTTCTATGCAACCACAGAGCACCCAACAAGAGCTGCGTTATTATCTGCTAAACACTGAAGCCCATCGACCAGCACACCTCGTCCCAGGACCCACACGGCATGGCTGGCACGGGTCTGCTGTGAAGCAGTAACAGTGGCTTCGTAAAACCCCCCGGCTTGACCAACCACGTCTGGATGCCTCTCCCTTGCGGATGCCCCTCCACTCAGCTAAGATCCCCCCGGATCTGACAAAGCACCTGTCAGGAGCCACGCAGGAGTGGGGGTCTATCCCTTTCTGTCCCAGGGGCCTGAGCAGCTCTGAATCAGACAGGCCCAGTGGGGCCCGAGGTCCGTGAACACTCCGTCCCCAGCCCTGCCCGGCTGACTCCCATGTGGACAGCAGGGACCAGCTTCTAGTTACTTCCTCGGATAAGCCCTACCGTTCTGAGGCCCAGAGGCCTCTGAGTCTGAGCTCTTGCCGTTCCCCCAGGACAGGTCTGTGTCTGTCCACCTCACTTACATCAGGGCAGGACACAGGAAACGTTGAGTGTCAAACAAATGTTTTGGTAGAAGTTGGAGATGCCACTGTCCACTCCTCCCTCTGCCCTGGCCCCCCTTCACCCCCAACCCCGCCACCGTCTTCTACAACCCAGGTCCCCACCCTTGACCCCTGGTCTCTGACTCCTACTCCCTCTCCACACCCTGCCCTGCACCGCTATCCTGGGGTCCACCCACACCCTGACCTATTCTCCACCTGGACCCATCCTTGCCTCTTCTCTTCTCCCCCCCCCACCCCACCTCAGGTCTCCAGCCGTCTCCTGTCTCGACACCCCTCAAGTCCCCCTCCCTCCTGGGCCTGCTCCCCCACCGTGAAGTGGAGGCGGCTGTCGGTCTCCATCAGCACGTCCAGGCGCAGGGTCAGGATGTCCTTGGGGTAGAAGGTGGGCACGGAGCGTGTCAGGGTGGCCGTGTAGCCCATGGCCGTGGCTGTGAGGTTCTCCAGCCGGTAGCTGGGGTAGCTGGGAGGGAAGAAGCACCAGGGCTGCCCCATTGAGAGGCTCTGGGGGTCTCTCTGCGCTGGGACGTAGCAGCAGCCGCGTGCCTCACACTGCTCCCGAGTGATGATGGTCTCGGGGGCACAGTCGAAGCGCCTGTTGGGGGGCACGTCACACTGGGTGGGCGCGGGTGCTGGTGGGCGGTGGCCCTCTGGGGCATTCCAGGGCCCTCGTTTGCCGGCCTGCTCAGCCTTCTTCAGCCCTCGGGAGAACCCACCCTGCTCTCGGGGCACCAGGGTGAAATCACAGAGCAGGGCATGGCCCACCAGGGCAGCTGCGGCCAACAGGGCAAGGGCGCAGGCACCCAGCAAGGGCCAGGCCAGGTGCCTGGAGGAGAGTGGTCGCTTCACGGTCATGGTCAGCAGGCGGTCAGGAAGCTGAAAACACAGAGAAGCCTGTGGGAGAAGGCGTTAGGTCAGCAGGGGAGCTGGAAGTCAGGGACCAGGGGAGACCCTCTCTAGATAACAGATGAAGACTTGGGGCCAGCAGGTGCAGCCTGTTCCCCAACAGAGCTCACAAACCAGGCTAAGTAGCTTTGCTTATACTGGGGGTGGGAGGCGGGGAGGAGAAAGGAGTCCTGCGGGGCGCAGAGGCCACACGCTGCTGCTGCTGAAGGGTCAGCGTCCACCTGGACCTTCCTTCCAACACAGGCTGCTTGGACATGCCTGGGGTCGCCGCAGTGTGAGAGGCCGGGAGGGCCTTCCGTGTGCTGTGGAGTCCTTCCAGACATCTCTGTTTATTCCAACAATCTGCCGGTGGAAGTTGCCTCATGGCACAGATGTGGCTCCCAGGAGCCGAGGAGAGGGCAGTGCGGACAGTCTGATACAAGTGGGCAACTGAGGCCAGTGCTGGGCACGGCCCCTTCTGTCCCTCTTCTGTCTGGAACGTGGCCTCAGAGATAGAGCACACTGCAGGTGGGCCACGCTAGAAGATGGTTAGAGCCACAGCTGGGTGCTGGGCACCAGCCCCAGTGGTGATGTGGGGGACAAGGGAGCTTCTCTGTCCATGCCACATCCGCTAACTCTGAACCTTCCTAGTGCAATGCTGGTGGGCCTGGTCATGGTGGGGCAGCCTCACTGATAAGTTTAAGATGTGATTTAGCTTTGCTTAACACATGCAGGATCTGGAGAGGGTCACTATCCAGAAAGGACTTGGCAAGTGAATTAGGGAGAAAGTGTCAGGAGCCAGAAAATTAAAAAACATATTGCGAAAGGAAAGTGTGCTGTTAGGAACCTCCCCAAAGTACTGAAGAGCAATGGTGTCACTCTGGAGACTAAGGTGTGTCTGATACAGGCCATGATCTTTGCAGTCACTATGTGTCAGAGAGCTGGACAATCACTGGGGAGGATAGAAGAATTGATGCTTTTGAGCTGTGGTGTTGGAGAAGAGTACTGAATGTACCACGGACTGCTAAGAGAACAAACAGGTTCATCCTGGAGAGGGTGAAACCAGACTGCTCCTTGGATGCAAGGATTCTGAAGCTTCATCTGACATACTCTGGACATGTTGCAAGGAGGGACCAGTCCTTGGAGGACATCATGCTGGGAGGGTGGAGAGAGCACGCAGGAGAGGAAGACCCTCTATGAGGCGGATTGATTCACTGACTGGGGTAATGGGGGGAGGTGTGTTGGAGACAGTGAGATTGGCACAGGATAGAGCAGGGTTTGGGGCTGCTGTACATAGGGTCATTATGAGTCGCAGGCGACTGGCACATAACAACGACATTCTGTGAAGAACAACAAGTCAGTCCAGCTCCTCTGAAAATGTGACCACATGTGTGACTCTGCAAGGCTGCACTGGACGGATCTTTGCATCTGGTGACAGAAGGGAGGGACACAGAATGGCTAAGGGGGCCAACAAGTTCAATGCAGGTCTGACCTCAAGGAAGGTGGGGGAAGGCTGGTGGCTCAGAAGTCCTAGGCCCCTCCTAATCCCCCCTCCCCCGCAGGTCCAGGATGTGTAAGTCACATGTGGCCAACAGAGGCATTAGAGGAACCCCCAGAACCGGCTAGCTTCTTCTCCCTCCCGCGCTCAGCTTTGAGCTGGAGGCCTGGGCCCGTGCACAGAGGTGGTGACAGCACTGGGCTGGGGCCTGGGGGTCTTCGAGGCCCATCCTCCTAATCATACATTCCCAGACACAAGTGAATGCAGGCCTTGGGGTCTGAACTGGTTACAAACAGGTCTGCTGGGAAGATCTGCCGGCAGCAGTGCCTGGAGGCCTCCGCAGGGCCACTGGCTCCAGCCACTGGCCCCACCTCCGTCCACCACCCCAGGCGTGTCTGGACTGGGGCCTAGCGCTGGTGGGCAGTCTGGGTCCTGGAAGCCCCTGGATTCTTAGGTTTAGGACCCTCCTGCCTGGAGGCTCTGAGCTGGGGTCCAAGTATTTGAGTTTTTCAATTTCAGAGGTGATCTCTGTGATGCCAGCGGGGGTTTTACAGATGGGATGGAGAGCCAAGAGTGGGCAGCTGCCCCTGCAGCAATCCCCACCCAGCTCAGGGCATGACATCAGGGAGAGGGCAAAGGAGAGCCCGAATGACGGCCGGAGGTCACACCCCAGCCCGGGGATCGGGGACACCTAACCTGACCCGAGCCTGGTTCGCTGGTGTGAGCTCGATGCCCGAAAGGCCCAGCGAGGGCCGTGGGGAGTGTCCCGGGAGAAGGGCCCACGCGTGCCACCTCCCTCCCGGGGCGCGCTGGCCGGGGGCGCTGGCTGACCTGTCCCTCCCTGCGGCCAGGCCTCGGGCCAGCAAGTTCAGGGTCACGATTGCCCCTGGCCACGCTCCTGCGGGCCTGGACTCCCCGCTCCGCCCCGGGTCTCGGCCCCGCCGCTCACCTCCGCGTCGCCCCCGCGGCTCGCGCACCAGCAGGCACGTGACACCTGGAACACGTGACCCGACGCCCGCCCGGCACCGGGCGGAAGCGGGGAGCTGCGCGCGCGCAGGCGCAGAGACGGTGTCAGCCGCCGGCGCCCCCTGGCGGCATCGTGCTCAGCGCGCGTCCCCAAGGATGCTCGGCCTGTCCGTCCCGGTGGCCGGGACCCCGAGTGTCCGATCCTCGGTCGCCTGCTGGCCGGTCCTGCACTTCACTCCCTCAGCGAGTTCGAAGGCGTCCCGGGGAGCGCACTTGCGGGGAGGGGAGGCTGCTTCTTGGAGCTGGGGCGTATGAGACCGCTTCCACCACTGGCCTGCCCTGCTGGTCAAGGACCCACTGACACAGTCCCATGATCACACAGTGGCCGCCTGGAAAATCTAGCCTGAGGTCAGCGTTTGGAGAGACTCGTGCGCTCAGGCGTCCTGCTGGAGATGTGAAGGAGAGAGCGTGCATTTGGACACAGCTTAAATATCGTTAAGGACATTGTGATGACCCAGGCAATGGACTAGGGTGGAAGCTTCCAGTGACGTTTGCATTGTCATGATGTCAGAAAATGCTTCTATTAAGAGTGCAACTGACGCTACCTCAAGCAGAAGGTCTCTACCCTGGAAGACTAATGCTGTTAAAACTCAGTGCTGACAAGTCGACCAGGACTCAGCTAGGAACAACAGATTGGAATCTGCCCTGTCCAGCGCCATCCTCAGCGGCTCAGACACACTGTGTGCTAATGGAAGACTAGGGATCTCTGGCCACCTAGTCCTCAGGAATTTACTAAGGAAACAAGGCGTCTCTTGCTGGTTTGAATCCACCAGCTGCTTCCTGGAAGAAAGAGACAACCTCCTCCCGGGAAATTTACAAAAACCTGCTGGAAGGTCAGCTACCAGTCAATACAGTGAGTGGATGGGAGACTAACATTCTCCGACGGTTGGGACTTACTCTCCTTAGCCACATCCACCCGTCCTGACTAGCCTGGGACAAAGCCAGAGACCAGAACTGGATGAGAGAAGATGCTGTAGAAACTCCTCTCCTTCTGCTCTCCTGACCCTCCCCGCGGAAGTCCCCACAGAACGATGGAGACACAGCTTTGCAGACACCCCCTTCTCCTTTTACACTAGCATATAATAAAAGTCCTGCTTTCCCACCTCAACCTGGCTCCACGCTTGGTTTTCCCAGCAGCAGGTGCAGAATCTTGGCTTCCCAGAATCAAGATGAAACCAATGCATTTTAAAAGGAACTAGAAAGTGTGCATGTGACAAGCACTAGAGGGGACCCACCCAAGTGTGAGCAGTGAGGGTCTCTGCTTCGCCTGGGCCGCCAGGTGAAGGGTTTCTCCCTGCTTCTTTTCAATGTGCCACACTGAGGTGGATTAGTGCTGTCATTCTGGAGGCCACTGTCTTTCAAATACTGACAAGGTCACCTGCGGAGAACTGCTTTCAGTGGGGCTTCTGCTGCTCCAAGCAGGGCTTAGAGTCAGAAAGACAAAGAAGAAAGGACTGGCAGTCTATTTAGGAAAATTAGCCAAAGAAACCCATATGGGTCACAGCACCAGCTGGAAGACAACTGGTGTGAGCGTGGGGGAAGGGGTGTGAAGATGGAAATGGCCTGGGAGCAGGCACCCTGCTGTCCCTGGGGGACCAGGTGACACAGCCAACTGGAAGCAGTTAACAACTCTCATGTTCACAGAAAAACAATTTTTAGGATTTTTTTCCTGCTGAGAACTTGGAAAGTGAAATTCTATCAGGCAACATTTTCCCTTTCACAGTGCAGAGAAGGCACAGGTCATAGGTACCCAGAAATTTAGGGGTGTAGGAGCCAGAATCTGGGGTTCAAAAGCAAGGAGAAGGATCAGACCGGATCATTGCAGTGGCATCCGCTGTCTGGGCACCTGATGGTTCATCGTCCAGCGCCTTGGCCTCTCTATGCCTGCAAGTCGTGAACCCGGATTGAACTCAAACCAGGAGTGGCTACAGGAGAAGGGCCCCGAGATTTAGGGTGAAGTGAGGAATGAGGTGGGTAGAGGTGCCCTTATAGACAAAGCTAAGGGGAGAAGCCAGGATGCCCCCTTACACCTGCTTTTGGGGGTCCATCCTGTTCCACACTCTCGATTCTGAGCCATCCTCACATCAGGAAAATGAAGGAACCACATGAAGCGAAGGAGGAAGTCCCACACAGGAATACCAGCCTTCGTGGCCGGCCACTGTCTGTGCCTACAAAAGGCGCAAACTGATAGAAACGCAATGGGAAAGATCAGCATTTTACTGGGTAGAAATCGCTGCAGGGCTTACAAGAATTTTTATTTTTTTAACCTACATCGCTGGCCGCTCACTCCTCTCCCCACCACCTCAATGGGTGGTGTGAAAACAAGGTCGAGTGTCTGTCCGAGGGACTCCAGAGCTCTGGTCTGTGTCCACATGGTGGCCTTGTGGTGGGTCCTGCTGCCTAGGAAGCCTCGGGCACCTCCAGCTTGGTGCCAATGGCCTGCCTGAGCTTCTGCAGGGCCTCCTGGAACTGCGGGTACTCGTTCTTCACGTGGTCCAGGATGGAGGCGAGGACCATCAGCCGGGTGTCCAGCCGCATGCTCTCTGCCTGCAGTGCATGCTCAGAGCGGACCAGGGGCACGTACTTCCCGTCCTTCACAGCCTGCAGGTGCTTCGCGCGCCCCTGCAGCGTCACGATGTCCAGGAGGTTCTGGGGGCAGGGGGAGATGGGGAGATGCCCGTTAGGATCAGAGCCAGCTGTCCCATCCATGCCTGCAGTGACCCCACGTGTCAGAGCCAGAGTGCCCTACAGCTTTCCAGGGGCCAGGCTGCTGCTCCTCCAAGGTGTCTCCAGGTGGACTTGAACCTCCAGCCTTTGGACCAGCAACCAGCATGTTAACAAACTCAGCAGTGAGATATTACCATAGAGAACAGCCCAGGAAGGGCACTATGTTCACGTCAAGGGCTGGCACACAGCTGGGGGCTTTTTTTCATCCTCCACCCAGGGAACAGTGCCTATTCTGCCATGCACTGACCTTCAGGCCACCTGTCCCTACCTCGCCTACATCCCAGGGGACTACAGCTCCCTCCTGGCACTCAGCGGACCGGACGTTGGCCTCACACAGCTCCTTCTTCCCTGACAGCACAACCAGCCTAGTCTGGGCTGCTTCTCGGTTATTCAAATGCGGCCTGGCCGTGTGCCACCATACCACTGGAGTGCCATGTTGGTCCCTCACAGCCCTGGTGGTCCTGTAACATGATCACGCCTCACTTCTAGGTCCTCCACTGTCCCTCAACTCAGAGAATGCTAAGGTCACTGTCGTGGTCCCTAAGGCTCTGCACCGGCGCTCTGCCCTGTGCCCACGCCACACTCCAGCCTTGAAAACTGCCCCCGAGCCAGGGCTGAGTGCCCACCTTCTCCTGGAGCACTCTCTGCCTCACCCTCCCCAGGCCTCCACCTTCTGTCTGTGAGGACACCCCCCTCCCCAGCGCAGAGCAGACTTCAGGGAGCCGTGGAGGCTGGGGGACCCCTGGACTGCTTCCCTGAGATCATCTTTAAACTTTGAACCGCAAATATCCCCTTAAAGCTTTTCCAAGCCAAACAACGCGGCTGTTTGTTAGGTACCATCGCGGTGACCGACTCGTAGGACCTCACACACGGCAGGCGACACTGCCCAGGCCTGCTCCGTTCTCACTGCCCAGGCCTGCTCCGTTCTCACCATCCACGCTGTGCGGGAGCCCACTGCTGTGGCCACCGGTCAGTCAGCTCTGGGGGTCTCCACCCTCTGCCTTCCCAATGTGGTGTCCTTCTCCAGGGGCTCACCCTCCTGACAGCAAGCGCAAAGGATGCGAGACCAGTGCACCCCTCCTCACTTCTAATTAGCAACCTGGCTGCACTGGATCCAGGCTGGACTCGTTTGCCCCTTTGGTGACTCACGAGATGGTCAGTGTGTCAGTGCTCTTCACCAACACCACGATTCAAAGGTATCTTCCTTACCCACTGTCCAACTTTTACATTGATGTGAGACAAGTGGTAAGACCATGGTGGTCAGGCGCACCTCAGTCCTCAAAGTTACATCCTTGCTCTTTACCAGTTTACAACTCAGATTTTGTTTAATTTAACTAGTAGAGAATGTCTGCCTGGAGCACAGAGCTCTTTTAAGATCTATCAATGCATTTGATAACGGCACTGTGTTTATGTTGGCATGGAGGTGAAGGGGGAACAGCTCAGAAAACGTGGTGAGAATGGCTACACACACAGCTCAGAGATCAATGTGTTGGCCTGTACGGTCTAAACATGCAGGGCTGAGTCAGGGCAGCTCCGCTCCCAGGCTCTGAAGGCAACAAAGTTCTTTTAAAAGTACAGCTCCCTCTCTTCTGCAGACCCTCCCTTTCCCAGCTTCATTTTTCTCCAAAGTATTGGCCACTTACACACACACACACACACACACACACACACACACACACACACACACACACACCCTGCTCCAAAGTGTCACTTCGTCAGGAAGTCAGGCACAGTCTTCAGCCCAGCTCACAGGGCCACCCGGAGTGACAGCTCTTCCGTGACTGTGCATCACAGATACACCCCTGACCTCTGGCCCCTCCACGGGCTCTCCTTCGGCCCCCACTGCTCTGTGGACTCACCTGCTTTCCCCCAAGCTACTCTCCCCCAGCCACTTTGTGGCTCACTGCTGCTCCCTAGCTGCCTCTGGCCACTCTGGGCTCACCTGCTGCTTGAGGCCCACCAACCGCTGCAGGTCAGCGTCCAGGGTGTCGGACTCAGACTGGGCCTCGGCCAGGGCTTGCTGCCTCTGCGTCAGGTTGTCGCTTGTCCTCCTCTGCGTCTCCTCCAGCTCCTCCAGGGTCTTGGAGCTCAGCTCGGTGGCCTAGGGGAGGGAGCCGGCATCCTGACCTGGCCAGTGCCCACCGCTGAACCTCTGACCCACCCACTCTGGCCCCCTAGAAGGTCTCGGAAAGGTGTCCTGGGTCCTCATGGAATACTGGGGTGCAACAATGGCCACATGTGGCCTGGAGTGCCCTGAGGACTGAGCAGTTCTGGGGATCCTCCTGCAGCGAACCTGTGTGCTCCGCTATCGGGGGGGACCGGCCCACTGGTACCACAGGCAGAGATGGGGAAGACTGGCTGGTGGGTGGCGGGAGGTGGGGGATACTCGCGGGGTGCTGGCAGGACATTCAGGAGGGCACAGGAGGTCCACCCTCAGCATGTGGGAGAGGAGACCAGGTGGGATAGGGGAGGCGCGGACGTGAGCCTGCGCGGAAGCCCTGCCTGGAAGGTTCCTTCTCGGGGGTCTGCACGTGGCTCCCACCTTGTTCACGTCCCGGATTTTCTGCCTCAGCTCCGCCTGCTGGTGGTGGAAGTCCGTCCGCGTGAGCGCCTTCGTCTGCATCCTGCTCTGGCCCTCCGCCCGGGTTCTGATGGTGTCCCTGCGAGCCACGGCCATCTCCATGTCTCGGATCATCTTCTCCTGCTGCTTCAGCAGCTGGCTGTGCCTGACCTGCGGACACACGGCAGGGCGGCTGGGGGGCGCAGGGGAGGGGCCAGCACAGCTGGACCAGCAAGGGGACAGAGCGGGCCACACCTCCAGGACACTCTGCAGCCACCGCCAGTTGGTCAAAGAGGCTTCAGGCTGAGCCAGGAGAATGCACAGGGTGAGTAGGGAGGAGTGGAGGGGCCGCCCTTCCAGGTCAAACCGTTGGCCTAAGTCTTGTCCAGGGCTCTCTGCCCGCGAGAGGGCAGGCAGCGTGACCATGAGAAAGGCACGCCTCAGTTAACACCTGTCGTCAACGTAACTGACTCCCCATCTGAAAGGAGACAGCAACACCTGCTTCCACACCAGCCAAGAGCAGGTCCCAGTGCGCTCAAGAGCCCGGGTAAGCAAGTTTAAAAGAAGCTGCGCGGAGAAAGGCAGCCTGGTCAGAGTGCCAAGGCTGGACTGGACTAGAGAACAGAGCCAGCAGCAGACACAGCCCAGCCCAGGTGCACTCCCTCTGGCAGGTCCCCCACCTGCTCCCCAAGGCCACGGTGCTGCTGGAGAGACGGCTGCCTCTCCCTTCTCCGCAGGGGCAGCTGGGGGAGCTGTGTAACCAGCAGCCTTTCAGATAGCAGCCCCGTGGTAAGAGCACCAGGCTGCCAGAGTTCCCAGATGTGACAAACAGACGAACGAGTGGGCCCACAGGTAAGGAGCTGGGCTGCCAACCCAAAGGCATGTAGTTCAAATCCACCAGCTGCCCTTCTGGGTGAAGATGGTCAGGCTCCTCCCACGCCACTGTCTCTAAAATTCCCGGGAGGGTCAGCTGTGCACCAGCTCTGACTTGATAGCTCCTAACAGCGGCCTCCGATACACAAGGAACCCCTACCAGTTGTTAGAAAATAAGGGAAACTATCCAGTACAAGAGTCTGCCAAGGATGTGAGCAGTAACTCCCAGCAAGGGAAGGCAAAGGCTGACACGCGGGCACACACAGCAACGCAGCACACACGCGGGGGCATGTACTCACACACTCAGGGCACACACACACATGTGGGGGCACACACACACAGACACACACACTCACACACGCGGGGGCACACACACACTCACACACACGGGGGCACGCACTCACACACGTGGGGGCACACACACACGCGGGGCACACACACGAGCAGGGCATGCACACTCACACACGTGGGGGCATACACACTCACACGCGCACACTGATATGGATGCACCGATGCTCAACCTCCCCACAGGGAAGCGCACCCCGCCCACGTGAGTTGCGTGACACTGAGCAAAAATACTGAATCAAATCCAGCGTACAGAGCTCAGCTGCATTTCTGACAGCGTCATGAAGGAACAGAGCTGAACACAAGGTCTCAAAGGGCCGCGTGAGGAGGTAAAGCCAATATTAAAGTACTCAGGCTGAAAGAACTGGCGGGGGACGGGCGGGAGGAAGCCTCAAACCTTAAGGTGCAACGTGAAGAACTCTATGGGTAAATCTTGAACGATACAGGAAGCGTCAAGAGGGGAAGGAAGGCATAGCCAGAGTCACTGAACCAAAAAACGTGTCAGTGGACACCACACCAATTGAGGAAGCAGGATGTGACCAAGAGCCAGTGGTAACGACAGAGGTAATGACAAGTTGGGTTGAAGGCGCTGAAGGCCGCTGCTGGCCAATAACAAGGCCTGGGCCCTGGGACACCATCCGAGGTGTCCTGGGGGCTCAGATTGTCCTGGGCAGTGGGACCAGAGGAAGAACAGACGCTGGCCGAGAGGGCAAGGGGGCCCCACACACACAGCTTGGGAAGCCTGGGGTTCCTCCACGCCCTCCTGTGGGTTGTGCACACGGCCATTGGCCCAAGTGACAGCTGCTGACCTCCTGGTCGGTCAGTGGGTCTCACTAGGACACACCCCACTTGCTAGGCCCACTCACTGCCCCTTATTCACCAGGTTCCTCTCTGCCCACAAGGAAACGCACCTGAACCCTCCTCCATGAGACTTCTCAAGCCTTTCAGATGGGCTCCACCCTCAGACCCTGCCCACAACCAAAAAGCACCCCAAGCCCTCCAAGCCCCCTTATATCCCTCCTCTAGACCCGCCCACAGGCCCTGCCCAGTCCACCAGGTCTCCCCAGCAGGCTCCCCCTGGGTCTTCCACCAGGTCAATCCCCATGGCCTGTCCACACAGCAGGCCCACCCCACCCTCCGGCCCTGCCCTGTCACCTTCATCCGGTGTATTTCAGCCTTCATGGCCCTGATCTCCGCCTGGCCGGTCTCCGAGTCCACCGAGGCGCGCATCTCTTTGGCCAGCTGGATTTTTTTCTCCCAAAGCATGATCTGGTATCTTTGGGTGGGATGGGGTGTGTAAGGGCTGAAGAACCCAAGGCCCTTCACTGGACTCCCGTGCTCTCAGGACCCAGAGGAGGGGGACAACAGGTGTAGGCAGGCCTTGGTCTCCCCAGGGCTGCACCTGCCTTGCATTTGGGGGAGTCATTGGGCTCATCTGGACCCCGGGCCCCAGCCAGGACTGGATTCTGCCATGTGAGGCCTAGTGGTGACCCAGACCACGTCTGTCCTCACAGCCCCTCAGAGAGTGTTCTGATGGCGGTGTGGGGCTGTGGGCACTGCCATAAGGGACAGTCGCATGAGGTGACCCACTTTCCCAAGCAGAGGTGAGTCCTACCTTAGTGCTCTGTCCACTAACAAAATGACAAAGATTTTTCAAGAAAGACAGTTTCTTTGCTCGCACCCCCCCAGACACTCTACTTTGAGGTGGAGGTGCACCCAGGGAGCTGAGCTGCCATCCCAAAGGCACACAGTTCAAATCCAGCAGCTGCTCTGCGGGAGAAAAGGGGGCAGTCTCCTCCTGTGCAATTAAACCACCTCTGAAAACCCACTGGAGAGCCAGCTAGGGGTTGCTGCCGACGTGACGGTGCACAACAGCAATGGCTTCTGGGAAAGTAGAGAAATATTCCTCTCCAGGGGCCTTCGTGGGAGGAAACGAGTAGGGGGGATGTCTGTGCACCCATGAGAGCAGAGAACACTTTGCTCAGACACCAGTCAGAACGAAGATGCGTTTTTTGCATTTCTCCCGGTGGGCGTGGCCCTGGAGGAGGGGCTGAGGGTCTCGAACACGTGCCCGGTGGGTGTCGTGGGTGCGTGGACTCACTCTGCCTCCAGCAGGCTGTTCAGGATGGCCGTCTTCTCCTCGTTGAGCTGGTTCAGCCGCTCCTGCATCTCCATGCTCTCTCTCTCCGAGGCCTAGGTGGGCGAGGGTCGGGGACAGCTCTGTGGCCCTGGGATCTCTGCTTCCCAAGGCAGTCTGGACACAGGGCTGCCGGACAGATTCCTCCGTCCAGGGCCACAGTGGACACGTGTGACCCACCTGCCCTCCCTCCATCCCTAGCCCAGTGTCCGTCCTCAGGACAGCGTTCCTGACCCGTGTGGCTGGCACACCAGGGTC